ACTTTACATGTTTTCTGTTTCACAGCCAAAACACTCTCGTCAAATATGGCACTACCAGTACCTCAGCTGGCCTGACCACGGCGTTCCTGAGCAGCCAGGGGGCGTCCTCAGCTTTGTCACTCAAGTCAACAGTAAACAGGCTGAATATCCCAATGCTGGGCCTATAATCATCCACTGCAGGTACTGGACACTGGAGACTGAGCTGATCGTGTCGACGTTTACAGATATTTACTGTGTTGTTAGTTTACCATTTATTCTACAAAATCTGAAAAAACAGCAATAGATGCAAGTTATAATTTCCCAGAGGGCACGTCTTCATCACCCCTGTCCGTTTGGTGGTTTGCGAGCAAGATTGCACAACAACTACTGGACGGTTTACCACAAAATTAAAGATTACGTGTGGGTCAGGGATCCAGGATCTTTTAATTTCACTTTAACAATGTGAGATAGGGAGTTTTTTTATTTTCATTGATTTCTCAGATGTTTAGGGGATGGATTTTTTATTAGTGTGTGAAATTTGGTGCAGATACAAATATAAAAATCTAGTGAATTTATTTAAATGTGGTTTTATTAGGGGGCTGCTGAGCTTTGGTGGAGGTATTCACCTTTTTCAATTTAAAGCAAACCCTCACATTTCTGATAGCTGGAAGCAGCAAATAGTAACCTTTGTTTTTGCTTTGATAAATGATACAAACAATGAATTGATTGTTAAAATTGTTGTCATTTAATGATAATAATTTATCATTTCATTGTTTCATCATGATGCAACCAGGCCCCACCCGTCAGCGATACTTTATTTTTGGGTTAAATCCAAACAGTTATTTCTCACTTCCCAAGAAGCTGATGATGCATTCAGGGGGAATGGGAAGAATTTGCAGGACAAGACAAATGTTTTCCCAGGTGGAAGTTTAACCAAATGGTGGCTCACCCTGCATGTCAGAGAGATCATTAATCCTCAGGTTTTAAATGTGTGATTCTATTGTGTAATGTAAATATCACAGCACTACGTTTACCAGGCTTTAGTTTCTTATTCTAAATATTTCAGGATTAAGATTAGTCGAACAAAAGGTTTTCAGTCAACTGACAATTTATCCTTGTGGAATTTTCCACGTGTGATGTGTGGGACACTGAGGCTGTTTGTGTGTTTTTTAAAAACTTAAACGATTACATGACCCTTGTAAGTGTTTTGGTATGTGAGCGTGTTAACAAAGCCACACAGCACTATTGACATGTGGCCCTTTAAATGAAGCAATGTTTACTTAAGAATATGACCCTTCATTCAAGTTAAATACAGTTTGTCTGAGGTGAGAGTAAAGTAAATAAGTTTTTAGGAGAGATAAAACAATTCATGATTTAAAAAAAGCTGAGGGACGAAGAAGAGGATTTACTTTCTTGTTTCTTATTTTTTCAATCATCTCACAACCCCTCAGATTTATCCTAATTCCAGCAAAGTGACTGCATCAAGTCTGTGTCACATCTGCCAATAGTCCAAAGCACATTCAGTGAAGAGAACCCTAACGTCCAGGATCAAAGTGACAAATGTGCATTTGGTGCCTTGAGAATTAATTCCTCCGCTAAGGCCCAACCGTCCCCTTATGAAACCACATTCAAATCCACTAGATCCAGATTTCTCTACCAAATTGCACACGTTAATAAATATCAGTCCCGTAAACATGTCTGATCCACAAATTATTCTTGGAGAAAAACTGTTGAAAAATGCCCCAACCTCACAATGTTAACACAAGTGAAAAAACGAATCCTGGACCAAAATTCACTGGGTACGTGCGTAATCCTGCTAAGTAACAAACTAACAACACACAGATGATGGCAGAGGTTGTAATTTCCGTCCATTTGAGATCTACCCTGCACCACACAGAGCAGCCTGTGTCGGTTAATGATGTTCACTTTATGTGCAAATGCATATTTTTTTGATTGATGCGAAGATATTCACTTCATTTCTCCTGTGAATTTTTTCAGTGCTGGAATCGGGCGGACGGGCACGATTCTGGTGATCGACATGATCCTCGAGACCATTGACACTCTGGGTAAAAAAGTGTTTCTGAAGAAATGTGTTTTCGCAACATGTATTGAGGAACAACATTCACTCTTTATTCTCCTAATTGAGTTCTGTCTCCATCCAATGCTTCCCTGTCTCTTTTCCATCTTCTCTGCAGGTCTGGACTGTGACATTGACATCCCAAAGTACATCCAGATGGTGCGTGAGCAGCGCTCTGGGATGGTGCAGACAGAGACGCAGTACAAGTTCATCTACCTGGCTGTGTCCGAGTACATACAGACCACCAAAGCCAAGGAGAGCGCCTCTATGGTGAGCAGCAGGGAACGGGACTCACTATCAAACACACTCAACTTAGCTAAAATAAAGGTTGATGTGGGAAAAACAACAGAGATACTGTCTGTGTGTCAGTGGGTCTTTGTACTTTTGACTGCTGATTAGCACTCGACCAGCTGAATGATACGTTATCAGAGCAGCTTGTGAAAGACGAACGTTGACCCTGAGACTCAAAACATTCAATCACAAAGACAAAACTAGTCACATGACCTTTCTTTGTGCTTCAGTACTGAACCCTCTGTTCTTCTCTTCCCTAGGACACAGAGCCAGAATATGGAAATCTGCAACTCAAACACCAACAAGTGACCAGGAAGGTCTCAAAGTAAGTGTGTGTGAATTGGATTTCGTCTATTACATTCACATTTCCCCTCAAAACCTCTCACCACCGTCCTACTTTCTTTTAAAAACCATGACGCTGTCAGTTCAGCCTTTCATCAGCAGTTTGTGGAGGAAGAGTCGAGCTGCACACTGTCTCATTCAGTAGAGGGATGGAGCTGTGGGGGGAGGGAAGATAAAAGTTGAAGGTTCCACTTCAGTTTCATGCTTTTATTTCTGTGAGCTATGCTGGAAATAAACGCCTCTGTATAATTTGAATCATATTTAGATTAGTGTCACTGACAACCATTTTAGTCCAGATTAAAATATCAGCTGAAGACACAGAACACCAATATGACAGAGAACACGTTTTCACAAAATCTCTCATTTGTTGCACTGCGACCGAAATAGTTTTGTAACTAAATAAAAAAGTAATTTATCAAATCCAAACAGCAGTGGCTGAGATTTCTAGTCTCTAGTGTGGGTAAAGATCCTAAAAGATTCTACATTCCTGAAAACTCCATAGCATCTTTGATCAGATCCTCCTCGCCTGCTAAATGAGCACATCTTAAAAACCCTTACCACCAGTTTGTCAAAAGGGCTGGCAAGTAAACATATGAAGTCTTTTAAGTCATCTGGACCTTTTTTTAATAACTGCGTAAAACAGAAAACACCACTCTAAAGTGTTTTCACTCTTCGTGATGAGAAAAACTGAGTCAAGTGATGCTTTAATAGATAAACAAGACTTAAACTATTTTTACAGTGTGCACACAAATTCAACACACCCCTCTTCTGTGTGTTTTATTGTGTGAATAATGTTTGTGTGACCTCTGGGCTCTGGAGCCACTTGTGTATAAACCGGACAACGTTCTAATTAACCAATCAGAGAAAATGAAACAGCTCCCACACACTGGAGAATTCAGCTCCTCGCACTGTAAACTTTGACCCACTTGGAGCTCTGCCATCAGCTTTGAGTGATCAATCCATGTGCTTTTCTCTGTTTCAATTGTTCTCAAGCTGCAGCTTTGCTTATCAACCTCTCCCAGTGTTAGCTGGTTAATGCAAAAAGGTGCTGAATAGCTGAAAAATTCACCAACCAGCTTTTTTTTTTATTTCCAGAAAAGCGGAGGAGGTTTACGAGAATCTGTCAAAAGGAAAGAAGGATGTGAAGAAGCCGAAGTCAGACAAGAAAAGTGGCTCATTGAGAAAGAAATAGGAGAGACGGAGAGGTTTTAACCAAATGTGTCGTGTTATTATATTTATGTTAAAGAATTTGTTTTTCAGAGAAGATCTCATACAAAATACATTGTATGGTAAAAAAAACAGAGATAGTCTTTGACATCTCACGAGACACATGGATGCTTGGTTGTTACAAAATAAAGGCAGAGCATGTGTGAACACTTGTCTCTTTATTTCATTTTTAGTAAAGACCATAATCTTTATGTGAACCTACACTCATACTTCTCATCAGCTGATTTGTGTAGTTGCTCTTTATTATTGTTTCTGGCAACAATTGCAAAGCTATTTTAAATTGATAATAATGTGTTTTCATTGGATGGATGGATGAAATGTAGGGTGGGCTTATCCGAAGTCCGCCCACACGGCACAGGTCCAGGGACCCAAGGAGCCAGAGGGCCCTCGGATGAACCTGCAGAAATCACCAAAAGAAACTCAACAGAAAGAAAAATAATCTCAAGGAGATGAAAACAAACTCACAGAGACTAAAAAGAAAAAGAAAAATGTGTCCTTTGTTTTGTGTCTCTTTCAGTCGGGGGTCCCTTTACTTGTCTGAGCCCAGGGGGGACATTATGTCATAATCCGTCCATTCTTGTGGTGACATTGTTTGTCTCTACTACGTCAGTGATATTTGAGTCCAAGCACCAAAATGCAAGAAGTTAAAGTATCATTTCAAAGTGATTTACTGCACACTGTTTGCAGGTGTGTGTGTGTGTGTGTGTGTTTGTATAATTTCTCAAACACATTTTAAGTGTCAGCTCAGTCAGAGATGATATATTTAAACACCTGCAGGCACAGGTTTACACATTTGTCCCTCTGTCAGATGAAAAGCCCCAAAGGCTATGGTTAAGATCAGAGGGTAAAGATATAGAAATAATAATATAGTGAAGTTATGGTTAGGTTGTTGGTCAGTGCACAATGAATGGAATCTAATGCAAATTCCTACTGAGGAAAGCTGTGCAAACTTGTGTGTCTGAAGTAAAACATCACAACAAATCCTATTGGGATAAATAACATTCTGATCTGCTGACCACATTAAGCATTAACTCCACCCACCCACAATAAAGTCTGTGATGTGTTATCCATGCGCTGATCTGCTCCACCCCACCCACCACATGTTTCAGGGATCCTAAGCACCGCCCCTGCCCGTAACTGATCCATCTGGACCCGAGCAGAAGAGACGAACGAGCCTCCCCCTGCCTGTGCTCCTGCAGGAGTGAAAAAAAACGAGTGGGAAAGGATTTCTTAAATCCAGAGCGAGGAGCTTCTTGCACAATCTGCGGTGGCAACATTTCGGTCCTGACGCTCATTTTACGCACAGGCAGACCAGAAAGTGAAACTGATATCAAACCACGCAGGGAGTCTATCTCTGCAGGATCCGAGAAAGAAAAACACCAGAGGTGTCAGCTCGTGTGCACATTTTTGTTTTGGAAAGAACAAAAGCGGCAACATGTCCAAACCTAATTACTCCGGCACGTTTCATATGGTGGACCAGCAGAACATGGACAGCTACCTCGCAGCTTTAGGTAAGATTTCCTTTGAGTCGCCTCAGCGAAGCTTTTTAAAAACATCTGCAACAAGTCAAACTCATTTGGTGTCTAATACGAGTCCAGTGAAGGAGATCCTCCATTTCTTAACGTGTCACTCTGCTGCGCTTCGTTTCTATCAACCTCGTATGTTCCAATGCTCTGCGTCTTTAGGTTGGTCTTCATCTTATATCACTGATTTCATCTGTAGCATCACACCAGTGGAATGAAATCTACACCATGTCCTCTACATGACCCACACACACACACACACACACACACACACACACACAAGACAAATTTAAATAAGAATTGCTATGTTGCTGTATTAACTATTATGCAATATATTTTCTATAAATCGTAATTTTAATGTCCTCACTCTGCTCAATGATAGAAGTACACACACACACACACACACACACACAGAGGTATTGTGTTTACACTGTCAGTGTCGAACAAAGATCCCTTTGACGAGATCATGTTTAGCTTCTGGCCTGTGTTGAATTAAAAGTCTCTCCATCTTCTCTCAGATATAAGTTTTCCTCTGAGGAAGTTGGTGTGTCTCTTGAAGCCGAGTAAAGAAATCAGCCATGACCCGGCCACAGGGGCCATGACTATCCGCACAAACACCACCTTCAAGAACTTCAACATGGATTTCAAGATCGGAGAAGAGTTTACTGAAGACCTGGGGCCAGTGGACGGACGACAGTGTCAGGTGACTGTTTCTGTGTGTTTCAGATATAAACATAACACATTTGGATAAGTTCACAGGCTCCATGCTTCTGGGACAAGTTTGGTTTCTGTGTTTTTACTTTGGAGTGTCTGAGCAAATCCGACCACCTACTGCTGTGATTCTTGTTTTGTAACCACCACCTGCTGCTTCAGCCTGCAAAGAGTGATGTGTGTGAGAAAGAAGAAACAATGAATTAAAAGAAAACACTGATACTTTTCAAACCGGTGCATGAATCGGAATGAGCAGCTTTATTCCACCATGTCCAAAAAAAAAAAAAATCTAACTCCTGGCCATGCTGTTAGCATGAAACACTGATTGAAAGCGTGAGCCACTTTACATACTAATGACCCACAACATCTCTGTGCTGCTGCAGACCACAGTGAGCTGGGAAGGAGACAAACTGGTCTGTGTGCAGAGAGGCGAGAAAGAGGGCCGAGGCTGGACCCACTGGCTGGAGGGAGACAAGCTGCATTTGGTAAGAGAGTATAGATAGAGTGAAAAGATGTGAGGAAGAGAGGGAGGAAGAGAGGGAGGGAGGGAGGGGATACGGAACAAGGAAAATAAAAGCATTAAGGGTGACAGATGCTGAAATTGATATGCTGAGTGAGAGAGAACATGCAAACTAGAAGGACACTCAGTAGAGAGCACGTTTCCACCAAGGCCCAGCAGTCGCCTTATGAAACCACATTTAAATTCACTAATCCATACCGCACACTCCCACCGAGTTTCTTGGTAATTCATCCAGTTGTTCTTTGTGTAAACCTGCTAATAAACAGACGGGTTAGAAGAGAAGGTCTGGAAGTTTGATGTTTCCTTATTCTCTTGCACCATGTTGTCTTTGTGGGAAGATGTTTTTTTAAAATAGGTTTCCCCCTGCATGCCTGAAAGAAAAAAAGAGACAGGACAAAGGAGGGCAAAGACAAGGGGAAGTTTCTTGAATGCACCTTTTAATGAAATGCCAATGTAGAGGACTGGAGCTCATTGTCTCTGCCAAGGATATTATGTTTTCATCAGCCTTTGTTTGTTAGTTAGCAGGATTGCACAAAATCTACTTAACTGATTTTATTTAAATTTTGTAAAGGAAGAGCCTTTCTGGATCTAGATCCACATTCTGGAGTGGATCTAGATCCAGGAATCTTTTTCACTTTCTTCAACATCACGAGACGGAGTGTTTTTCAACTCCGGGATCTTGACAGAAAAACTCAGACATTAGAAGAGGATTGATATTTATGAGTGTGTGCATCGTTTCGTAGATCCAGATAAAAATCTATCTCTACTGATTTTAACTTTGGTTTCATAAGGAGACTGTTGGGTCTTGGCGGAGGTATGCACTCTACTTTAAGGTTTTGTTGTTAAAGAGTTTAAGATTATAGATTATCTGTTAAGGCTGATTAAGATTTCAAACAATCGGCAGTGTTCCGCTAAAGAGCTCTCACAGGTTTTTCTAATACCTCTGTTTGTGTCGAAACAACACACTGTTGATGCTGCGTCCGCGTTCAGGAGACATTTGGGAAAGAAATGCCAGCGAGTCCCAGGCTTTAAAATGGTGGATTTCACAAAAGGAGTAAGGAGCAGTGTGAGAGACTAATGAGTGAGTGAGGGGGATGTGGAGCAGGAAGAAGAGGGGGGAGCAGGCTATAAAAAAAGGGACGAGATAAGTAGACATTGAAAAGAGTGGGAGACGGATTACAAGGTCAAAGGATGAGGAGAGGGAGAGTAAGGGGGGGGGTGATGGGGTTTTTGGACATGATCCTCAGTTAGTGTATCACTCTTTTAGTTCTTCTTTCATGTGCCAAACTGTCATATTGATTCTCACTCTCCTTTCATAACCCCCCACCCCCCTGCCCACCCCCTGTTTTAATCTCGGCCTCCCCTCCATCCTCTGTTTCTCTCTCCGCAGGAGATGAGAGTTCAGGGCATCGTTGCCCAGCAAGTCTTCAAGAAGGGCGACTGAAGTCAAGCAGAAATGTGTGTGTTTAATGTATAACCCCAATTTATTCTTAGCTGAAAAATAGTCCAGCACTTAGTGCAGGAAATATTTTGAAATTTAGCAATAAGCCTAAATATGTGCTGTTACGTTGTTGGTTGTTTCTGTGTGATGGTACTGAGAAGAGCAGAATGACTGTTGACTGGTAAACATTCCCAAACATACTTCCTCATATTGCACTATATCTTTATGATGTGATAAACAAATCAGACGTTTTACTGCTTCAGTTGTCTGTCTGTGTGGTGGGGCGTGTTGCTGCATATCTGAAGCTTTTTATGAAAACTGAAATTTGAAAACCTAAATTCCCATTCCGGCAAACTTTAAAAGAAGGTAGAAAGTTTTATTCTTTTGGCTTCCAACAGTTAAAATGTTCATTTCTTTGTCTAAATCATCTGAATTTGCAACAAAATAAGTTAAATAAGATTAAAGCGTTATTACAAGAACAAACATACCTTAAATTAAAATAAATTGAAATTGAAATTTTATATTTTACTGTCAACAAGTTCCATGAGAAGTCTAAACCCAACAACACATAAATGCTTTCAAAATTTTATGTCAAGTTTGTGGGATGCGTAGACTGTGCATAGATAGACACTGGGTCTCCACTTCCTCCCACTGCCCACAAATCTCCGAAGTCTCCATTTCCTCCCACTGCCCAAAGCTCATTAATTCAGACTGAAGATATAAATCTTAAAAAATACGCCACAAATAGATTTCGCTTTTGGCAACAATGTACATATATTGCAATGAGGAATAACTTGTATATAGTTTGTCCACATCGACAATATTTGTATGAATAGTTTGTGTTTGGTATTTTCATGAGATTTGTTGACAAGAAAAATATAGAAAATAACAAGACATATCCCTTAATTGAAACAACAATGAGCTAAAGACTTCATTCAGTGCGAAGCTCCAGTCACAGTAAAGAGCTGCACCAGTGTTAGCTTTGAACAGTTGAATCTGCTCATGTGATAAATCTGTCAGTTGTCTGATGTCAAGATACTGTAAAAAAAGTTACGTCACATGGGTAGAAGTTCTCAAAAAAAGTCCTGCAGGGGGCGACAAACATTCAGCGACCCATAACTCTCCACAAAGTTAAGGCCTATACTCCTTTTTTCTTGTTGGTATAAATAGTTATAGTTTAAGGCTCTCCAGCATCTCAAGGTTGAGAGTGACTATAAACTCCATCTGTGCTTATACAAGAACTTTTACTCCGTTATGTCCCACACCACTCGTCCTCCTGTGGCTCTGAGTGGCTCCTGTGGAGGTTGCTGGTGCGATATCCTGCAGCTGCAGTGTTGTGACTGGATTCAGCAAATGAAACAGAGACCTTCAGCGGGGTTATGGGGAGGCTAATGTCCATGTCGCAGCTGACCAGATCATCATCTGCGGAGGGAGAGGAGGAGGATGAAAATCAATACTCTGTGTGACCAACCTTCACAGGAATGTCACACTGCTGTCTGAAACCCAGACAGCTCTTCATTGAGGGGCTGAAAGCCTTTATGGAAATGGAGGATCCGTGGACATTTTGGGGCTCAGGGTTTCAAGTGAAGTGTGTCATAACGCATCTTCTCTCTACTATCACCATTTTAGTTTTTATTTTGTGTTCCTCTCACCAGCTGGAGGAAGCAGTGCTGCTGTCAATCACACACAAGGTATACATATATATAAATATAAATAAATCAGTGATTTGATTGGTTTTGGTTTATGTTTGTAAAATATACTCAGCACATCGGAAGGTGATGCACTTAGTTAGATTTAAAACCCACGGGACTGTGAGTAATTCAATCACATATTGGAAACAAGTGGACACCTCATCATCCACATCATCCTTATTATTATTACATGCGTCTAAACAACCAGGTCAGTCACTGTTGAGATCTTTTGTGATGGCAAAGAGATCAGTAGATTGAAAGCTGTAAATCTTGTGTGTATGTGCATGCAGTCGTGTTCAAGGATTCATCACCTGGGCTGATAAGTGTTAACTTGCATTCCTCCATGGCACAGCTCTCTTGGCAGTAGCCGTTCGGCTCTGTGGACGGTAAAGACTGATCCGGCAACGTCACCAGTGCTACGGGAACCACCTCTGCCGTAACAGGAACACTGGACCTGACTTTCACTGAGAAAAAGCAGGTGATACTTCTTATTACTGTGGTAAATAGTTGTAGAAAAGGCCAATGTATCAAGTGAACAGCAGGTTAACAACTTCTGTCTGCATGGTAACTCTGATCGGGCTCGAGGTGACACAGCTTTAGCACCAATCCTCTTTCCGATGCGGTCTTCATATGCTGCAGAACTTTTCATACTTTTCAAATGTTCCCCAGCTCAGTGTGACTCATGATGAAGTAATTGTCTTTTAAGGAGACTCATATTTATGTTAATGATTTCATTTTGGGTTGTTACTTGAAAAGGTTCACATGCTCTATGTTCAAAACACATATCCATCACTCCCCTAGTCAGCAGCTTCCAGAGTGTGTAGGAACTGGCCGTTCGGTTAGTCCCTGCTGAAGGTGCCTTTAGCTTTTATTCTCAAGGCCACTGAATATGCCACCTACTTACATCAGAGACGCTTCAATGCAGTCATCTAAGAAGTCTAAACTAAAAACATTCCTTTTGGTTTCTAAATAATACGTGTCATGCTTGCTATTAAAACCCGTCATGTTCTGAATAAGAACGTTTGCAGAGAACGAGGCTGAAGTCAGATTTGACGCAACAGACTGCACCAGATTCCAATGGGGTCACGTTTCTAGGGTGGAAAATAAAATAATCGTATCAACAGAAAAAACATCAAAAGCCTCCATACTGCTCCTGTGGTGTCATCCATGTGTCCGTAAGCCCCAACATTCAAATTGGACTCGAAACGGTGTCATTTACACCAGGTTTTTTAGCCTAAATGTCTGATATTATTCTCCCCACGACCCACATTCACACCTCGATCACAGCATATTGTATGGAGGCATTATATACATTTTTCTGTTGGTTTTTTTATGTTTGTAGAATTGGTCACCATTTACTTCAATTGTATTGGATTTGGCTGCAACGCTGTTTAAAACTGAAACTCCAAAATAGTTTTGTGGATTCAAACACTTGACCCACCCCCTCATCCGCAAAGTGGTGAGTAGATATTGTGTGAATTTTCATTTTTAAAGTAGCGCAGGTTGGCCCTAAACACCTGTTTACGTGGTTTGTGGTCAGTACTGAGACAACAACACATGTATTGTATTTCTTGTGTAAATTCCAGAGTTGGCACATTCAATGGAAATACAGTAATTCATAGCACACACGTCAGTGAACAACATTCGGTTGTGGGACTGTGTCACTTCGCACAAATTGTTTTTCAATATGAGTTGGCTGCCTGTGAAGTGTGCGTCACATTTTGATTAAGTGTGTCAGGCTGAATATGTACAGGATGTGGTTTCCCCCATTCAGTAAGTCAAGCTCATGACAGGCTCGTCTAAGATCATGTTAAACGGCTTTGAAATAAAACCTAAATTTTATGCTCTTGCAACACATTAATTATATTAATATGAGAAATCCGGCATGTAAATTGAATTTGATCTTATTTTAAGTGTTATTATTCTATATTCACAGTACAGGAAACAGTGGGAGGGGAAAGACATGAGCACTGACTGATGACTTAATTCATGTCACAGTTGTGGCCGACATGCGTAGTTATTGTCTCTGTACACAGCTTTGTCAGGAAGACTTTTTCTTTCTCTTAAAAGTACGGGAAGAAAGGTGACGAAACCAGCGCCTGGTGACGCTTTGCACATACCTGCTCTGCGCTTTGCCCTCCAGACGACAACAGCGAGAAGGACAAGTGCTGTCAACACAAGTCCTGACCACAGGCCTGCGGGCAGCATCCAGGAACAACCTGACAACAAAAGAAAATATGATAAACTTGTTGAGAGGAAGCCAGTCATTTTAAATATTGCTTATGTTTCCTCTGTTTATAATGAAAATGATTGGGAAATGACAAAAAAGGCTTTATGCATTTTCCTCAGCATCCTCATTCAGTTTCTATGTTGAATAACAATTGTGTTGGCATGAAAACCACACTCTTTCTGAGTAATTTCACACTAAGTGGTTTAACACAAAATATAATCTTATCATGTTATCTAAAGTTATTTCATCTGAGGTTGTCTGGGGTCTTTCTGTGGGGAGTGGGGTCTCCTCATGTCTGCTTGGGTCTTCTGCTCCCTCCCACAATCCAAAGACATAAAAGGTGGATTGGTCTAAATTGACAAGATTTGTTTGTTTGTCTCTATATATTGGCGACCTGTACAGGGTGTACCCCTCCTGTCACTTAATAACAAGTGGGATTGGCTCCAGCTCCCCTCTGACCCTCAAAAGATAAGCAGTATAGATACTGCAGCCAATATGGACGGTCATCCTAAGAGTTTATTTCCTACATTCTAAGCAGTTTGATTGATTTCTCAGAAAATAATTCATGGATCTTGATATTTATGAGATCCAAATAAAAATCTGGATCTACTGAATTTAAATGTGGCTTGATAAGGGGACTGTCGGGCCTTGGTGGACGTATGCACTCTTAGGGTCCATCTGGTGCATGTGTTTATACTCCTCTCATGAAACATCTGTGTGAATCCTCTTTAAGTGCCTCAGATTCATTTACTGCTTCGAAATGATTTCAGATCGTTCTCACTTCTACTTCCTCTCTTAGTAACCTGGTCATATGACAGATAGGAACTGAGGGTCAACAGGAACTCAGTCAAGAACTCAACAGGAGTCTCTTAGAAAAGGAACATACGCTACGCTACAATGCACAAATTAATTTCCTTTCGAAACTACAAGATGTTGAGATCTGAAAAGAAGAAACAATATTATGAAGTTAAAACTTTGGACTTACGAGGTAAACCATCACCGCAGATGGAATTGGTTGTTTTGGTTCCCTGAATTGTGAGCTCTCTGCCTAAGTCCGCGCATCTGGAAATGACAAACAAAAAAAATATCAGAATAAAGTGTTTTTAAATTGTGCATGTTTGTCCGAGGAATGTATGAAAAGCACAAGGGAAATTAATACGAGAGGAGACAATGTCCTACCTGGTGTGTGTTTTACAGCGTGAGATGAAATCTGTTACGTTGCTGTAGGTCCCCTCCTCACACGGAGCACAGATGGTATCACTGGTGCGATTGGCTGCAAGAAGGAATGAGATGTGGAGTCATTTCCACTGACACTTAGTGCTGAACTGTACGAAAGGACCATATTCATTTTCCCCACCTAGAACCTGCACTCCTTCACCCGCAGGACACTGGGTCACTGGCTGGCAGTGGTCACACTGGTCATTACTACAGTAGAAACCAGTCTCACACTCACACTCCGTGTCCTCTGAAGCTGAACAGTTTTTGGATTTCCTCTGGTTGTTTTCTGAAAATGTCACAGAGAAAAATGAGTCAACTGTGGACCAGTCCTCTCTTCCATATTTCTTTCTGAGTAAAGTATTAAGTACATTGAATGTGACTCAGTGGAGTGCATGCAGGGAAAATTATACATGCCTTATCTCAAAAATGCCAGAGATAAAAATGACTTGATCCTCCCCTGACGCAGATCCGCACCCAAATTTAATGTAAATGAGGTTTCATCAACAAATTATATGAAATTGTCATATCTCCGGTTGCTCCATGAGTCTTTGTGGTTATTTTGTGTCTCTTGTATTGTGTGGCAGTTTTGTCCATGAAGCCGGTTTGTCCCTGTACCCTGTGTCATTTGTGTCTTTTTATGCTTGTTGCGAATCTGTTTCATGTGTTTTGTGTCTCTGTAGTTGATTTATGAATTCATTGTATAAAAATTATGACTGATGTGATTTTTCCTGGTTTCTGCATCAAACTATCTTGTCTTGTGACACATTTTACCTTTGACAAAACAATTGCAGCTCCTGTTATGTGAATATTACTGTTGTGATTTCAAAAATATTTCCATTCTAGTGGTTTTATTACTTTTGCACTGAGGTTCTGGTCCAGGAAGACCCCCTGACCTCTGGGGCCCCTGGGCCTGTGTCTAGGGGCTCCAATAAATAATATGAATCATTCAACTATGGGAAAAATGTTCCACATGTTGTAAAACCCCTCTTAAAGGACAAGCAGTGTAGATAACGGATGGATGTTTTAGGTCTTCTGAGAATTACTTTTGATGTTCGGCTACACAGATAAAGTGTAAGGAAGGGTTTACCAACCCTAGCTTTACCTGAGCGGGACTGCACATTAAGCTGATTCATCCTGAAAACAATGGCTCCCTTGCTGCCTCAAAAATGTGAATCAACAGAGCTAAACTTACACAATAGATTACTTTATTTTTAATGGATTTATTTCAAGAAGCAGTGTGTGTGTGTGTGTGTGTGTGTGTGTGTGTGTTTGGGAATAGAACAATACATGTACGTGTGTGACTTACTGGAACTGCACTCTTTGCAGGGATGGCATTTTGTTAAGTGATTTTTCGTGGCCGTGTAAAACCCATGTCGACATTTATCACACTGGGTCACTCTTGTGCCGTCACAATCAGCCTGCACATACGTCCCTGATGAAAAGTGTGATGTAGAGAATGTGACATTAATACAGAATATGAGTTGCACAGAAAAGCAGAATATAGTTTTACAGACCAGACACACAGTGGGATCTGCTGCATGGTTTGCACAGAGAGAAAAGAAAAAAGAGACTGACCTGCAGAACAGCGATCACAGCATCTTACACCTTTTAGGTACTTGTCCTCACTCGAGCAGTTCATCACTGGTCCCCCTCCTGTGTGTAAAATGTCTAATGTCTGCCTCCACACTCTAAGCCTGCTCCAGACCTCTGATGTTTAACTTGTCTCCGCTCACTGAAATCTCTCTTCTGCTGTTCACTCATTCAGCACTCACGTTCTTCTGTCTCCGCTCTCTTCCTGCTGTCTGATCTCTCTCCGTGACTACATGTGTTTCCCCCTCTCACTCTGTCTTACCTACTTCTCATGTCTTTTCTGATCCAACACGGTGGAAAACCCCAGCAACCCTCATCTGCTGTTTTCCCCCTCCATCTCTCTCTATCTCTCTCTGTGTCTCTCTCTGGGTCTCTCTCTCTGTGTCTCTGTCTCTCCTCACTTCCTTCCTGCCCTAGCCCTCTTACTGTGAGACTGTGTGTGTGTGGGTGTGTGTGTGTGTGTGTGTGTATGTATGTAGGTATGTAAATCAGTTTTAAGGTAAGGTTTATTTAAAACTTTGTTTTTTTTTATGTTAAGATTAGGTTAGGTTAAGATTAGGTTTTGTTTATGTTAAGAGTAAGTTAGGTTTATGTTAAGATTAGGTTTGGTTTATGTTAAGATTAAGTTTGGTTCAGGTTAAGAGTAGGTTTGGTTTAGAATATCATTAGGTAAGGTTTATGTTAAGATTAGGTTAGGTTTATGTTAAGATTAGGTTTGGTTTATGTTAAGATTAGGTTAGGTTCAGGTTAAGAGTAGGTTTGGTTTATGTTAAGATTAGGTTTGGTTCAGGTTAAGAGTAGGTTTGGTTTAGAATATCATTAGGTAAGGTTTATGTTAAGACTAGGTTAGGTTTATGTTAAGATTAGTTTTGGTTCAGGTTAAGATAAGGTTAAGGTTAGGTTAAGTGTTAGGAACGTATTGGTCCCCAGTTAACTTTGGCCTTAACTATGGTTAAAATTACGGTAAGTTTCCAGGAAAACAATAAATGTCGTCGTAATGTCATCTGTCATAACCATCTGTCAACATAAGTCATAGGGTGATGACTTTGTGTGCATGTGTATGTGTGTTTGTGTGTGTCTATGTGTTTCCATCACTATGTGATTTTTTGGCACCCGCAGAGCAGCACAATGGGACATTTCCTCTCTTCAGCACACCCGTTCCTTGAACTCCATCTTCATTGTTTCAGCTGAACCTTGACCCACGGAGCAGGAAAGTTATTGAGCCAAATATTAAACCTGCAGAGAGATTTTGAAACTGCTCTCCATCTGAAAGGTTTTTTGGCTCTGTGCTCTGCTTCGCTGCAAATGTCAACTCCCTCCCGCCACAATGCAAACGCACAAAACAATCTATGAATAGATTTATAAGTGCTTATGAATGCAAAATCTGAGTGAGACAGGAAGGGGACAGCGAGCCAGTTGGAGAAATGGAAAGTAAATGAATATATAAAGGGGAAGGTGAAATGCTGAGGTAGTTTATTTGAGAAGAGATTTGATATGATCACGATGATAAAATTGAGGTGAGTGAAAGATATTAGATTTTAATACTATAATATACTATTTAAGAGATGCTGACTGAATCATATTGGTTAGCGATAGACTCTGAGTACTTGTGTTGTTAAGGTTATGTTATTATCCACGTTTGTTTGCTTGTTGTTGAGCAGCATGATACAAAAACTATTAGAGGAATTTTCACAAATCTTTGTAGAAGGATGCAGTTTGGCTCAGGGAAGAATCCTCATAATTTTGGTGCAGATCTGGATCAGGGGGTGTACCCAGGAATTTTCTTTCTCTTTCTTTAACATTGCGAGACATTGGGATTTCTGTATTTTTGACATTTTCACCGATTCCCTGCAAAATAATTAAAAATCAGTTACATTTAAGGAACTTATATTTATGAGCGTGTGCAATTTGGAGCGTCTTGATTGAATTTAAGGGGATTGTTGGGCCATGGCGGAGGTTTGTGCTCTTGTGGCTGCTTTTCTAGTTGCATTATGGTTTCCTTTTTGTTTGTTTTATGCACGGTTGACTTTCTCTGTCCCTCACATTAAATTCTACGCTTATGTTTTCTTTCCTGACTTTATGCTCCTCACACCTTCTCCCTTTCTCCCTGAAATTTTCTTGACATCCCTCCAGTCTCCTGCTTCTCCTGCTCTCCCACTCGGCCCGCTGCATGCTGCTGGGATGGGTGGAGTCTCCGGGGTATCCCAATGGATACCAGCCCCACGCCAGTATGAACTGGAGCAGGTGTGCCCCCGAAGGTTACACCCTCTCCATCAGACTCCTCCACCTGGACCTGGAGGACAGCCAGGACTGTGAAAATGATGCCGTGAAGGTCAGGGGTCAAGATGAAGTTAAAATTCTCATAATAAATGACGACAACTGCTGCCCTCTAATTTTATAATTTCATCTGCCATCTCTTATTTCTAGATCTTTTCAAATAGAAACTTGATTTCTGTTCTGTGTGGCCAAAGGGACTATGAGGAGCTTCAGTCTGTGGTAAATCCTTCACTTGTCTCTTTCCCGGGCGGCTGTCTCTCTCTTTCTTTCCACTCAGACTACTCAAACATCAAGAGGCACGGAGGCTTCAGAGGCTTTTACACAGTGCAAGGTGAGACACAAAGAAGGAAACTCAAGTGAGATTTTCAGTTGTATCCTTCCAACTGTATTCCTGTGTGTTTTATAAATTGTCCCTATCAGGCGAGTTCACTTTGTGAGTCTAAGTCTCATCCATGTGAATACTTCTGTTATCAGGTCGTATTTTAGACATCAACTCACAATGGTTGCTAACTTGGAAGAAAATCAATCAGTGTACAGGAATTATTTTTCCATGGTCAAACGTGAATTCCAATTTGCTCCATAATAAATTGGTTAATATAATTATATTATAATATAATTATTATATATATTATAATATAATTATAATATAATAACATATAATTATATTAACCGATTTATTGGTTAATTTAAAAATAAACCTCCTGATAACATTTTCCCTTCCTTATACCAATACCTGGACTGTGAATGGACCGATGCTAAGTACTGACCAGTGCTTTTAAAACAAATGTGATTAATAAACTCTTAAACTTGTGAGCAATGATGAGGAGGAACATTTTAGTTTTATCTAAATTTAAGTTATATACTTTAAAGATGAAGTATCGGTTCAGTACATAGATTAACCTTTAACAAAAAGATAACCTGACAGCTGAAAGGGAAATTATCAGTATGGCTGTGGAATCACTGTAAGATGTGTATCAAATCAATCTCTCTTTATTTTCTACATTTTGACTTTTAATCAATTTACTCTCTCAGACTTTGACGAATGTGAGGACGACCCAGAAAATGGATGCAGTCAGTTCTGCCACAACACCATTGGAGGGTACAGATGCTCCTGTCGCCATGGTTACCACCTGGGAACGGATAAACACACTTGCACTGGTGCAAATAATCTTATTCTGAATTTATTATTATTATCATTAGAGGACAAATGACAGAAACAGTGGACAGACGTCAAGGAAGACTGTACAAAAGTGAAACAGGAAGTGAGAACCAGAGGAAGCAGAAGCAGAAGCAGCAGGGAGTCAGGAGGTGGAGAAAGAGAAGGATGAGAAAAGAAGGATGCTTATGATTGTGTTAATATTGATTAAAATGATGATAACAATTCATTCATCTTCAACACAGTGAGTTGCGGTAAGGATCTGTCAGGACTGAACCATGGCGTCATATCCAGTCCCTCCTGGCCCGGTTCGTATGGGGAGAACGCAGACTGTCGGTACACCCTGTCTGTGGAGGCCGACCTGCAGTTGGAGCTGCACTTCTTAGGGGTGTTTGATGTGGAGCAGAGCCCTGATGGTCAATGCATAGATGCACTGACGGTACGTGATGAGTCATAGTGTAAACAAAACATGTTTCTGAACAAAGAGGAAGTTCGGACTAAAGTGCTGAAATCATGGGTTTCACAGACGGTTCACATCCTATTTTGACCATTTCAGTATCTGTGTCACACATTTTGGAAGAAATTCTTCCATAACGTATAAAACCACAAATATAAAACATAAACTACTTAGTGAAATGATTCACCTTCTCCAAGTTAGTATTCAGTACATGTATCTTTGTGTGTGTAAAGGTGTCAGTCTCAGTTTTCCACATCAGGACAGGTTTTTTTTTTTCCATTGATCAGGATCTAGACTCTGAGTCAGCCACACCAGGTCATCATCTGGCAAATTAACAGCATTGCATTTCGCTTCTTCAAAGGGAACAGTTTTACTATGATTTTTCCTTTTCTTCATGGTTTTGTCACAATTCAGACTTGCTAGCAATTGGACTATTCACATACTAATTACTATATAATTACCTGGTAATTCTACTGCTACAACTTGTCATCATACTTATTTAGCAGGTCTATTTATAATAATGATAATACTTTTTATTTATAGACGCCTTTCATAGCACTCAAGGTCACCTTACACGGCAGATAAAAAAAAAACAATGAATCGAAAACTTCAATAAAATAATTAAAATGAAATAAACAGTGAATAAAAAAAGTTATACAATTGAAATCTCCTTGACTTGACAGAGCTCATATCAATTTATCTGATTCTGTCACCTAAAAGATGCATAAAAGATAAGCCACTGTAAGTGCTATGTAGATCATGGCTGTATTCTGTACTTTATACCTCTACTGTTGATACTGGATGACACACATACATCAGCATGTTTCACCAGAGTGAATGGAGCAGAGAAGACGTCAGGAGTCACACATGAGTCATTACCTAAGTTGTTTTGTCTGCAGATTGAGACTCCCTCTGGGACTATGGGACCGTTCTGTGGTCACACGCCTCCCCAGTCTCCCTTCCTCACCCACTCACATAGTGTCGTCATCCGCTTCACCTCAGATGGCTTCGGCACCAACAAAGGGTTCAACTTGCACTTCAAGACCAGAGGTGCTGGGGCCTCTTTGTCTTTGCCTTAGTGGGGAAAAGAACATTTGCTATTTGAAGTTTGCTGGAGACTCATCACTAATTGGCTCTTTGACATGTTAATCGCAGGAAAGGTCTGTCCAGCAGTGGTCACCTCACACTCCACTGTGACTCCTCAGAGACCAGAGAATCACCCGGGTCAGACGGTGAAAGTAACCTGTGATCTTGGACATATTGCGAATACTGTGAGCGAACAAGAACCTTTAATAGCTCTATATTTGATTTAAACGTTTAAAGGAAGTGTTAAGAAGATCAAGTTCTCTTTTCACGATGTAGCAAGGCATCCTGGCCCTGTCATCGCAGTATGAGACGACGTGCCAGAGAAATGGCATCTGGGTCCCTAGTTACCCCTGCGAACGTGAGTCAGAGAATTTCTCATAACAATGAGTTGTTTTGGAGTACGTCTTGGTTGTCTTAACGCTTTCTTTCACATTTCTTACATATAGCTGTGAATTGTGGTCGTCCTGATATCCCAGAAGATGGCATCCTTCAGTTGGTGGGCTCAGAAAACTCACACACTTGGTATAAAGACCAGATCCAGCTGACGTGCAGTTCAAAGTACTACACACTGGAAGGAGACGGTGATTAGGAAGCTTGCCCACTTTCATCTTCCTCACTTGAATCAAACAAAGTTCTCTTATTGTTTCCTCTCTTCGATCTTTCAGACACATACACTTGCAGTGCCGGTGGTAAATGGGTATCAGGCGGTGGAACATCACAGATGCCGAAATGCACTCCAGGTACAACTTCAAATACATTTCTTGCATTTTATTCAATATCAGTTCATGTGTTTGGATGGTAGCTCTTTTATTTACAGGCCTTAACATGTAGTAATATGAAGAAACAGGTGAAACAAAGGGATATTTATTGTATCCATTCCTGACAATAGCGCAGAGCCGTGCTTCTTAAACCTTTTGCAAAATCCAACAAATTAAACCAAAAGCAGATTTATTTGTGTTGAACATGATGCTGTGAAACATACGTATTATAGTAATTGATTCCCATAGAATTACAGACCAAACTCTTCTATTCTGCTTCTATTCTACTATGTAATTACCTGTTAATTCTACTGCTACAACTTGTCATCTTACTGATTCTGCCGATTTAACTTTGCTTTCACTCAATCATTTCTTCATATGACTACGTTATTAAAGGCCAGAAAATGTAAGACATTTGGACATGTTTCCATTCTTATATGAATCTATGTGTGTGCACTTCAGTCTGCGGGACGCATGAAAAAGCCCCAGTGAATGCAGGCAGAATTTTGGGAGGTCGCAATGCAAACCTGGGAGAAATACCTTGGCAACTTCTAATAAAAGAACCATCTAGAGGAGCAGCAACACTGATCAATGACCGATGGGCCGTCACAGCAGCACATGTAGTGGAGAATTTGGAAGAAACCTCTTTGCGCCTGTATGGTGGATTGATAGATGGAAGGACAGCTAATCAACGGCCTGGTGTGGCTGTCATGGAGAGTGAGAGGATCATAATTCATCCCGGCTACAGCAGAGGTGTTTCTTCTCTGACTCGCACCAGTTATGACAATGACATTGCTCTGATCAGATTAGCCTCCAGAGTGAATTTTGACCCCAACCTCCTTCCCATATGTCTGCCGGAGGGGAAGAGGGGCTTGGTGGAAAATGAGCAAGGGACAGTTTCAGGCTGGGGGATGACAGAAGGGAGGAGCAGCAGCCTTGTGACGTCTCGTATGCTGAAATACGCTGAGATCGGGGTCTACTCCCTCAGCAATTGTCAGATCACACCTCGCACATCAAATGGCAGCCCCATGATTTTCACTGACAACATGTTCTGTGCCGGAGCAGAAGGGACGGACAGCTGCCAAAAAGACAGTGGGGGTCCGTTTGTAATACCAGCGATGTCTTCAGGAACAGGGCCGTATCGTCTGGTTGGTATCGTGTCCTGGGGTCCCCCCTGTGAGGAGAGGAAGTTCAAGGGTTATTATACCAAAGTTGAGAATTATGTCGATTGGATCAAGGAGACAATAGATAAGGTGGAGAATTCTTAGAAAGGGGGAAGACGCAGGTGGAAACACACAGTGCTACGAATCACAATACTGTAATCAGCTTCAAGACTGATTCAAGTCTCCAAAATAACAACTTTTATTAAATTTCGTTTGTAACCCTTATAATCAATGTACCACCACTGACAATGACATTAACACATTATAACTTCAGACTTCACTTTTATATTAAAGGAAATGATGGGAAATAAACTGCAGAGAAAGTGTTTCAATCGATTTGTCTTTCAACACATAAGCTTGGATACACACATAACATCTCAGGAACACTTAACTATATATGTAGCAGTATTTATATATTTGACACTACTATGCTAAATGGCCATGCAAGGCCATGCAGACAGAATGTAATTTCACAACAGACAGTATTGAAATCTCTAATTCTGGGAAGCCTCTACAGCTCATTTTAGGGAAGTGTGTTTGTGAAAAACACGACATCCAGCCCTAGTAGGCACATTGTGACAACTAATGCTAAAGTTGATTAAAAGAATTTCTTAAAGAAAAAATATATACAGTTCAATTATAACATAAGCAGGTCAGATGATCAGTTTGCTCATCTTACATAGGATTTTCTTTTGATCCTATCAATACTTACCTATAAACACTTACTTACATTGGAAGCATCATCTTCATTCATCCGATGTTTAGATTGAAAACATAGCCCTGACACACACAACACCTAAAGAGGAAAGCAAGAGGTGAGAAAATACACATGTTCATGGAAAACAACACACCAGTCACTGCCACTCAATGAGCAGCACATTGGGCCTAATGAGATACATACATTCACTCTCCTGCTCAGGTTTGATGTATTTTTTCATCTTCTTTTTAAATAAATAATTTGTGGGTTCTTATTGTCCACTTTAATTAGTTGATCTCTTCAACATATTGTATAAAACATGGCCTTCGTGTCACTTCCTCATGTGAGGTTACAACAATTCATCCTCTACTGCCACTTGGTGGTATAAATGTTTTTAGTCGAAACAGAATTTGTTCTTTTTATCCTGTAATTAACTGTGGGTTTTATATTTTCACTCTCTCTCTTCCTCCTATGTATTAATTTCAGTACTTTTTTTTAAATGGGTATTTTTAAAAACGTTTATGGATACAGTCCCCGCTGTTCATCGAAAATAAATTCTCAGAAATCCTAAAAAGAACTGGTTCAGAACTTGACTATGAATTAACGCAAGTGACTATATACATTTCAAAATCTTACTGCCTATAGAAAATGTATATATTTTAAGGGTTTCGCTCTGCCTCACAGAAAACTAGGTGGCTAAAAAAGTCAGCACACTACTTGATCACAACAGGTAGTTGGACCTATTCTCAGGCTTTCAGGCTCGCTTTGAAAGCAACAGACATTGGGTTCAAATGAATTCCAAGGTATTGGCAAGCAACAAGTTTGGGGACGCTGGTAAAAAACACAATCACCCCCCTCTAGTGGTCGAATGAGTGTTGTAGACGTAAGACTTTTATAGTGGGTTATAAAATATGAGATTTGGCCAAAGAAAAATCTGGCTAGCTCCTTATGTTTTAAGTAATTATCGTTAAAATCTAATATTCTTAAAAAAATGTTAAAAGAGGTTTTCCCCAGAATTCAAAGTCGAGCATTTGTTTGATTTTGCCAAGACAAACAAGACATATTCCTGGCATTAACGTAGTGAGTTGCTAAACACAGGAAACAACACTTTTTTTTTTTTTACATGAATGTTTTACCTGAATGTGAAGCATTTGCTCCTACAACAGTGGATAAGATCACTCGCAGTTATTTAATCCAGAGATGGGGTTGACCTTCTGTATCGTTTGGTGAGTTAAATACAACATTTTAAGCCTATTTTGTACTAAAGCAGTTTTTGTTTTTCAAATTATTCCTCAATTCCAGAATTCACTGCAAATTTCTGTTGTCGAACTGTCTCTTAAATCATTGTGTATTAACTTCTGTGCAATTACTGTTATTATTACTGTTTTACAGGTCGATTGATTGATCCATGTCTCAAAATGACACATATAAATCCTCAGTAATATCATGAAGTCGTGTTGACTATCTCACCCTGTTTGTTCTTTTCTGTTTGGTTCAACTTTGGACCAGCAGCTCAGACGACCAACCATAAACAGATAAACAGACAAGTGCTGACCCCGCTCATGCATCTTTCCAGGTTTCTGTTTGCGTTGGTTTGTGAGTGTTGGACGCTGCCAGACTCCGGGCCTCTGATGCACGGTGAGGTCCAGTCTCCCGGGTATCCGCAGCCTTACCCTCCCAACCTGCAGGAGCAGTGGGACCTCAGTGTGCCCGAGGGCTACCGGATCCGACTTACCTTCACACACATGGACATCGAAGCTTCTGCAGGCTGCGTCTACGACTCCCTCACAGTCAGAACCACATTTCAACACATATACAGCATTTCAATAAACAATAATGCTGCAGGGCTTGAATTTGAAACATAAAGTGTGACAAGCTGACAGTTAGTTTGAACGTCATCATCTCATTGGTTACAACTTTACATTGACACTATAAACCTATTCTATGAATGAGTCTCTTTCTTTTTGAACATGTGGTTACAGATGTGATGAGAGTTAAAGCAACATTATGCCACTTTTACTGAGGAACAGCGCCCTCTGCAGCCACACATGGTCATTTATTCTGTTGGGCTCCGTGTCCCAAAGATTCATGTAGACAAAAAACAAAACAAAACCTATCAACAAGTTGGGTGGAGGTCTGACTGCGTTGTCAAACTCATTGAGCTGAAACACAACTGAATGGTGGATATTACCCATGATCCCCGGCTTCTTGATCCAGATGAGATGCTCCTGTAACAAAATTCACCAAACTCTGTACAGAATTCATCATATGTAAAAGATTTCCTTGATGAAAATTGGAGATAAATGCTGCTGCTCATTGTTTTATAAAGCTTATTCTGGAAATTTATGCTGCAACAATCAGTCAGTCACACAGGAGATGGTACCCGCTCACCAAAGTTACATACACTGAGAAAAAGGAAATTGTTGGACCAACGCAATTGCTAACTTTGATTTGAAAAAACAAATCTGTGTTTTACCAATTGAGGTAATTTGCAGCGACAAACGGAGTTTCTACAGTGCAGAGCAAGAACCGGCGTTGAAAATTAAAATGGCACCATTCTCTGTGAACTATCAAACTAATTTTGAAGCTGTTATTTTAGGGTAAAAAAGCTGCATGGTGTTGCTTTAATCTTCTACTCGTGGTCTTATAAGCTGCCATGGACAGAGTATCCATTCCAGGACAATTCATGCATGGGACAGACGACCAACAACAAAGTACAACTTGGTGTTTTCACGGCAAAGATTCATCATGATTCATTTTTGTTCTTGATACATTCCTTCAGGTTCTCAATAATGGAAAGGTGCTGGGAAAGTTTTGTGGCTCTGACAACTCAGCTGATGGGCACCACCCTGGCAACCACCCCATCTTGTCTTCAGGCAACAGACTTACCCTCATCTTCCAGACAGATAACAACAACCCAGAGCGCCACCAGAATGTGGGCTTCTCTGCTCATTATCAGGCGATAGGTAACACTTCTTTGTCTTTGTTCACTCCCCCATCACTTCCTCTTCTCACAGCAGAACCTTCCCCCACTATAATCAATCACTTTGTCATCACCAGACATAGATGAGTGTTCTGCCCCTGAAGATGCCTCAGGTCCGCTCTGCACTCAAATCTGCCTCAACACACTCGGGTCTTACATCTGCTCCTGTCGCCACGGCTACGAACTTCGCTCAGACCAGCGCAGCTGTGTTTGTGAGTGTTGTGCAAATACACGCCTCCCCTGTATGTGGGTCAAACAGTTGTGACTTCAGTTTTGTCTAGTTTCAGCAATGCTATAACAGCTACTTTCTTGTGTTTTCATATACGTATGTTTGTTACTTAGCAAGATTTTGCAAAAACTACCCTACTGATTTCCATCAAATTTTGTGGAGGTGTCATCCAAGAAGGAACCGATAAAAAATGTTTTCTCTCTCATTTTCTTTTCATTGATTTCCCAGAGAATAGTTATTGGATCTTGATCAAATCTGGATCTAGTGAATTAAAAAGTGGTTTCATAAGGGGACTCTTAGGCCTTGGTGGAGATATGCACTCTTTTAAGTACCAGTTTCTAGTTTCTTCATTTTCTTGTTGTCCAGTGTCCTGTGGTGGTGGTATTTTTGACGAGCCAGAGGGATTTCTTTTCAGTCCAGGATATCCTAATGCCCCACCTTACGCCGTGTCCTGTCAGTACTTCATTTCTGTAGAACCTGGCTTCACTGTGTCTCTCAACTTCTCTGACAACTTCCACATCGAGAGTGTGGACACGCAGCAAGGCCCAAGCTGTCTCCATCACTGGTTGCAGGTAACAAGAAGCCGATTCCATACACTATCTACAAATGGATTACGATACGATAAATGAACAGTGTAGGTTACTGCTCCTCTCTCTGAAGGTGAGCATTCCGGACAGAGATCACATAAAGCTGTGTGGTGCAAAGAGTCCAGGTCTGTTGGTCACAAACTCCAACACTGTCAAGCTGGAATACTACACTGACGACCAAGGCCTGAGCAACGGCTGGAGCCTGGACTACACCACACAGAGTGAGAGGGAGAGCAATGACCAATAAGCCAATGAGCACTTAAACTGACACAATGAATATTTGGTCCCTTCAGCTATGCAGTTGATGTTTCATGTATGCATTTCCATGGTGTTATCAGGGATGCAGTGTCCATTTCCTGGTAACGTGGCCAAAGGCAGAGTCACGCCGATGTTGACCGAATATTTCTACAGAGACTATATCCATGTGCGCTGTGCCCAAGGATACAAGCTGATGATGGTTAGATGAAGCTTTATTACAATGAGAAGTACTTTGCATCAACACAAACTGTCGACATATAATTGTTTTCGGCTTTTCCCTTTTTCAGGATGGTCAGGAGCTTGAGAGCTTTTCTACCATGTGCCAAAGCAATGGACAGTGGCACCTTCGTCTGCCAGAATGCCACAGTACGTCACCGTTTAGCTCAAACACATCTATTTAAAAATGTAATGGAGCACAAACTCCTGATGACTTGTAACAAGTCTTAACAGGAAAAACCTTGACATGTCCCTCTTTTGTTTCTTTGCAGTAATTGATTGTGGAGAACCTGAACCCCTGCTGAATGGTGGAGTGACCTTCCTCTCTGGCTTTCAGAACCAGTACCGTTCTGTCATTCAGTACCACTGTAATGAACCGTTTTACTCGCTCCTTGGGGGCATGAATGGTGAGATATTTGCATACTAGCTGGGACCCCCTCCTTGATGGCCTCGTAATCCACTAAAGCCAAGCTGATATGAGACAGGTCTATGGAGGATTTCTGTGATTTGTGTCACTAGCTTGCCCACTATTACTGCTGTCGTCTAACAACAAAGCTGCAGTTGGACACAAGAAGAAAGTTTTAATGCCCCTTGGCTTTATAACATGTACACATTAGCTGTTTGACTGAGTTGAAGCCTGATAGCCTAAGACTATTAGCTGGGTTTAAATTAATCTTAAACCAAAATTAACACCAAACCATATTTTTCTTTTGATCTGCCTACCCCTCAGTTAGCTCAACCTGTGAATCAGACAGAAAGTGGAGATCCAACCATGGTGATGTTGTCAGCCCAACATGTCTACCAGGTATTGGTTGTCAATGCAAAAGTAACACCATGCAAAAAATATCTAAGTGTGCAATTTTTTCTATGATGAGAACTTAAGGTCTCTTCTTGTGTAAAACTTCATTGTGTTTGTGTATATCTGCATCACACCCAGTTTGTGGTCGGCCAACACAACACCTCTCTGCCTATCAGAGGATCATTGGAGGCAACATTGCTCCAGAAAATACCATCCCCTGGCAAGTGCTAGTGAGTGTAAATGGAGGAAGAGGAGGAGGCATGGTGATCGCAGACCGCTGGATTATGACCGCAGCTCATGTCGTAGTACAAGAGGGAAACTCTGCATCAAACGACACTATACGGGTGAGTGTGCCACCATAGTTGTTAGCTGCATGCCCATACTCAACATATTTTTACACAGACATTCATCTTACATATCTGTGGATTTGCAGATTTATATGGGACTTACTGATGTTCGGACCTTGACGATGTCTCCTGTTTATGCTGCCTCAGTCCACATTCATCCTGAATACAACAACCCCAGATTCATAGAATACAACAACGACATTGCCTTAATCAGACTGCATGACCCGATCACATTCAGAGCATCAGTTATGCCCATATGTTTGCCAGCGCAGGATACATATGTCACTGGCATGATGGGGTAAGAAAACAACTGTCATGTTTACATTTTAGGATGCTGCATAAATGCTTATTTATTTTCATCTGTTTCAAGCTTTTCGACAAGAGACTGTGGTGTGCTTTCTTCTTCTGAGTTCACCATAACTGTATCTATCTCTTTTTCAGAGTGGTGTCAGGTTTTGGCATTACAGAAATCGACAAACGACGGATTTTAACAAATAAGCTGAAGTATGTGCACCTCCCTGTGGTGGACCAGGAGACATGCAGTAAATCAGTTGATTTGTATAAGCAGGGAAGGAGCAACGTACCAAACCTGACAAACAACATGTTTTGTGCTGGAGTCCCTGAAGGAGGGAAGGACTCCTGCCAAGGTGACAGTGGAAGCCCCTACGCCCTGAGTGACAACGGACAGTTCCGGGCTGCAGGGATTGTCAGCTGGGGGGTTGACTGTGGAAAGCAGGGAACATATGGAGTCTACACCAAAGTCGCTAACTACGTGGACTGGATCGAGAAGACCATGCAGGAGAATTAAGATTTACAAGTAATTCATGATGAGAAAATTGCAAAATCTAAAACAAAACGAATTTTGTTCTAAATAAAAAAAATAAAAATAAAACACCTGTCTACTTTCTGGTTACAACCCTTTAATCGTACCCCTGCTCATCAAAGATAGAAGGCCATTATGTTAGGTGGTGTGGACACCCACATGCCTGTGAGCCTCAGCAGTTCAGGTAGCTGTCATGCACAGTTGAGTTGAGAGCCTGATCGAAGTCCTTTCTGATTCCATATTATCTCTGTTCTAGTTGAATGTTCAGAAATGAATAAAGGCCAAAAACATTGCCTCTTGAGGGGGAGTCCAACTGCAGCATGCATAAATATATTGACTATGTCCAAATACGCTAACATTATGTTTTTAACCATTTTTTAAAAATCTTAAATCTTTTTAAGCTTGATCCAGTATTACACAAAGATGATCACAATCAGTTACTATGTCTATCCTTTCAAATTTGATGAGAAAATCAGTGTTAGTAGGGTGTAAAATGGATATAAAGCTTAACATAAGTTTTTATTGTTTACATTTGGACTGAGAAAGGAAAGATTGAGCCAATGTGTGATCTTCTACAAAACAATTGTTAGCTTAGCAACTGCTAACTCAGGAAAATCAATAATCTATCGTCTAAATAATAGGCAACCCAACATTAATCCCTGTGGACCACCATTGTACACTTCATTTTACTGAAAGAAGCATCATAAACTTAACACACTGCATCATATTAGATAAATATGTCCAAAGAGAAATTAAATTTAGAGATTTTTGCCATTGAAACATTATGACTCACTGTATTGATTGCTTTACACATATCTAAAAATACAGCACCAACTACTATTCATTTAACAATCCTTTGTGAGATTTGGTCCTATAAATGCAGGGTAGAACATTTGGTGGAATTCATATCTCGACTATTGGAGCTTTTCAAAATGTCCTGAATTGATTGAAGAAATATCATAAAGCTTTTTCAATAAGATATATTTCATCAGTGTATCTACAAAAGTTTTCCATAGTTTTTAGACATTTTCAGGTGTGTATATGAGCAAATCCTTTTTTTTATTTAATTGTGTGAGTGTTCTGGTGAAAGATTCTGTGTGTGAAAAGCTGAGGTTTTAAGTGTAGTATGTGAATGAGTCTGGCTTCATACTTGTACATCCAAGGTACTTCTGAATAATGTCACTGATGGCGCCTCCCACCTTTGAACAGCAGCTCTCATTTGCCAAGATAAACAAAAACAACTACTGGGAGTTCAATGTTCAGTATAAAACGGTAGGATCCATTTGAACTTGACACATCCCTTTCAGAACAGTAAACCTCACACAAAATCTAAATACTTCTTCCAGACATGGGTTGGACATTCGCTGCCATTTGGTAAGTTAGATTATTTTTTAAACAAATTTCTAAATGTAATCATAAAATGCTTTGTAGCTGCTAAGAATGGAGCTTCTTATCATATGCAATGCAATATGCATTGTCTACCATATCATTTTTTGTAAAGTGCATCACACCTCCGTTCCAATTGTCTCTTCACGGACCTCTGCAGGTTTGTGTGCGTGTTTGTGTGTGAGTGCTGGCCGCTGCACGAGTCTGATCCTTTAATGCATGGAGAGATCCAGTCCCCTCAGCATCTCCAGCCTAACCGAACCGGTTAGTGGAACCTCTCTAGGTAATTTAAAACATACCTCATTGGCAAAATATTAAAATGTCTCTGTTATGTTTTTCTGCAGTAACTGAGTGTGGAGAACCTGAACCTCTGCTGAATGGGGGGATGACCTACCTGTCTGATTTTCAGAACCAGAACGGCGCTGTTGTTCAGTACTTCTGTAATGAACCATTCTATTCCCTCCCTGGGGACGCAAACAGTGAGAATTTCACATCCATCACGCCAAGAAAATATCACTACTAATGCACATTAATCTTTATGTATTTGATGGCTTGGTTGAAAATAAATCTTGTGTTTGCTCTACAGCTATATTCACCTGCGGAGCAGATGGAAAATGGAAATCCAGCCACGACAGTGTTGTCACTCCTACATGCATAGCAGGTACCTGTTGCCTGTGATACAACTTAAAGTCTGTTCTTTTGTAAATCTTCATTGTGTTTGTGTACATCTGCATCACATCCAGTTTGTGGTCGGCCAACACAACACCTCTCTGCCTATCAGAGGATCATTGGAGGCGAAGATGCTCCAGACAATACCATCCCCTGGCAAGTGCAAGTGAAATATATAGGAAGTGGAGGAGGCATGGTGATCGCAGACCGCTGGATTATGACTGCAGCTCATGTCGTAGCACAAGAGGGAACACCTGAATTTAACGACACTATACGGGTGAGTGTGCCACCATAGTTGTTAGCTGCATGCCCATACTCAACATATTTTTACATAGACATTCATTTCTACATATCTTGTGGATTTGCAGATTTATATGGGACATACTGATCAGACCTTGATGGTGTCTCCTGTTTATGCTGCCTCAGTCCACATTCATCCTGATTACAACAACACCAAGAATGTACAGTACAACAACGACATTGCCTTAATCAAACTGCAAGATCCGATCACATTCAACTCATCAGTTATGCCCATATGTTTGCCAGCGCAGAATGCCACATATATCACTGGCGAGATGGGGTAAGGAAACAACTGTCATGTTTATTTCACAATTTATTCCTTTGTAATTCATAATTTTTCCGCTCCTCAATTTGTTTTTTTTCCCTTGTTGAGTCAACATGTGAATATTGTCCAGCTTTAAGTCAGAAAACTGATTTGCTTTTTACTTTTGAGTTCGCCATAACTGTGTCCTCTCTGTCTTTTTCAGACTGGTGGCAGGCTTTGGCACTACGTCTGTCTACAGCCGTCCAGCAAACAATTTGCAGTACGTGCACCTCCCTGTGGTGGACCAGGAGACATGCATTGATTCATTTAGTTCATATATGCCGAGATGGAACAAAGCACGAATCCTGACAGACAACATGTTTTGTGTTGGACTTCCTGAAGGAGGAAAGGACTCTTGTCAAGGTGATGGTGGAAGCCCATATGCCCTGAGGGACAATGAACGTTTTTGGGTTGCGGGGATCGTCAGCTGGGGGGTTGAGTGTGGACGACGGGGAACATATGGAGTCTACACCAGAGTCGCCAACTACCTGGACTGGATCATGAAGACCATGCAGGAGAACTAAGATTTACTATATTAAAATTTGTTCAGTCAATTTTTAAAAAACAAGAAAGAATGATGACAATGAAATGATGAAAAGTAGCAGATTGATTCAAGTAATAATTGTCGGGTCATGTCTCTTTAATTAGAGGGTATTTATTCCAGTATCTACTGTAGGTAAACCATGAATTAATACTTCTTTGTGCACCATGAAGGATACCAAGTGTATCTGGCACAACCCAACACTCACAACACAACCAAATACTCAAACACAACCAAATACTCGCAACAAGACCAAATACTCACAACACAACCAAATACTC